ATTAACAACTAGTCACATGCATATACACACTAAGAGCTGACAAAAACCTTCATTATTTTTATCACCGAATATTTAAAAGATTTATAGATAAAGCTCAAACTAATGCTAGAATTTTAAAATAAAAATATTTAAGAAAATGAACATAAGAAAATAAAAAATTTTGAAAATTTTCAATTTTTTATGATTTGTGGGTAAAATCCCTTCCCCACACTTATTTTCAACATTGTCCCCGATGTTGTGAGAGGAAAGAAAAGAAGACAAAGAAAGTCCCCCTTTATTAGATTTTTTATTTGTGAAATTCTCATTTAGCCCTACAGTTTGAGAATAACAAGAAAAAACTGATTTATCAACGTCATTCAAAAGATTTTCTTTTTGAATTTTATCAAACTCCAACTTACCATCATCAATAAAATTCAACCCCTTAACTGCAAAAACTTTGTTAGATCTATCAGACAAATTCATAGATTTAAAAATTGGAAAATCAATAGTTTCATCAAGCAAATTTTTGGTAAAATTGTCTCCTTGAGAATAAAAAGGGATTGGGGGCAATTCTTTTTGTAGAACTTCACTTACTGTTTCAGGCACACAACTTTTTAGCCTATTTGGATAAGGAACTGGGGGCACATAAGGCTTAGGTGGTACATAGGGCTCCTCCTCCTCAAAATCTTCATTTTCCACAGGTTTGGTGTTTTCAAAGCTTTCATCAACCGGGATTGGGGGCACATAAAGCATGGGAGGCACATAAGGGTAATCAGATTTATGCAATTGAGACTCATCATTTTCAACAATAATATCATTAGCATTATTATGCAATTTTTCAATTATTTCAGCTTGTTTCGAAATGATATTATCTTCTGACTTGTTTTCATTGATATCACCAGCCTTAGCCTCTTCACCAGCCTTAGCCTCTTCAGGTTAACTAGGTAACTTACCTGGCACATGCTCTTGCACAAATTTAGCAATTTGCTCTAAATGTGCTTCAATTCTTTTAAAGCAAGCCTCATTTTCTTGGAATCGTTGTTCATCTTCTTCTTGTGGCTCATAAGTGTCTTGTTGCATATGCAACCATTGATCATGTGCTTCTTGTTGCCTATTGCAAGTCTGTATAAACTCCTGCAGGGAATCTTCCAACAATTGTTTTTAGGCTGGAAATCATGAATTTTGCAAACCTGCATGAACTCTTGTAGAGTATCCTCCAAAGATGGTTTTTCAGGTTGGGGTGGGTTAATTGGTCAAAAATCATTTTGATTATAATCACAGTAAAAATTATAATGATTGGGTTGAAAATTATTTTGATTACCATCCCAGTAAAAATTAGGGTGATTTTCCCAACCTGAATTATAAGAATTATAAAACGGATCATTTTGAATAAAACCATTCATTGGACTTAATTGTCCAAAACCATTATTAAAAGGATTATTTTGGTTTGACGAAAAGGAGTACATATTAAAATGTAAAATTTTTCAAATATTTGTGTGATTAAGAATGAAAAAGAATTTTGAGAACGTAGAATGGACTAATGAATCAAATAAATGAGCAAGATTAAATTGAAGGAAAAAACAAATGACAATAATAATAAATTAAAGAGATTGGAAAAAAAATCAACCAGTATTACGAAATGCAATAAATAAATGGGACAGAGAAATAAAAACAAATATAAAGTAATGTTTAAATAGACTAATGAATTAAATAAATAGCAAGATTAAAAATAAAAAATATGACAATAAAAAAATCAAACAATTAAAGTAAGAAACAGAAAATTAAATTGCAAAATAAACAATTTCCCGGCAACGACACTAAAAATTGATGGATAATTTTAATAAAGTCCTCGCAAGTGCACGAGTCAATGGTAGTAATAGCGTGCTTAGCAAGGCTCGATCCCACAAGGAATTGTTACAATACAATTTAATTACTTAAAAAAATGGTGGAACGAGAAAATAAAGTTTGAATTGCAGTGAAATTAAATCGAATGAGGACAACTTAAGAAAGTATAATAATCAAAAGTCAAGAAAATAGAATTGATAATCGAAATGGATTAACTAAATTAAATTACCAGTAGAAAATAACGACATGAAAAATAATTGAATAACCTCAAAATGAAATGGCAAGAGATCAAATAAATACTAGGAACATAAACCAATTGATGGACAATTTAATAACTTGAAATTAAAATAACTAATTAAACAATTTAAAGGTTCAAAGTTAATTAAGAATCAAATGCAAAATAATTGAAATTCATGAAACCTAACGAATAAATAATTGAATCAAAACTTACGAAGGTGAACAAGTAAACTACCACGAACCAGAATATTAACTAAACAATCAAATTAAAAAATCTAAGAACATAAAATTAATATCACTTAAATTAGAACAGTTCATCTTCCAACAAAAGACAAAGTAAATAAGTTAACAAATAAAAGGGATGAAGGGATGAGGAAATGGCGTGTGGAATTGTTACTGCCAAACAATTATCTAAACTAACAATTATCTAAACAAATTGAAAGACTTTGTTGCCAAACCAAAAAGCTCTGCTGGCAATTCTCAAAATCAACAATGCAATTTACTAAGCAAATTAAAAAGAATAATGAAAAGCTAAGTTGATTTAACCAGAAAATGCTATTGTTGTCCCAAGCCGCCCAAGAAATTCACCAAGCTGCCGTCAGAAAATCTCACCAGCCCAAAGCTCCGCCGCGCGAATGGACTCTGCTGTGGATCACCTCCGGAATTGGTCCGGGGCCAATCGATGATCCCACCTTCCTTGAAAGCGCGTGTATTTATACTCTTTGAACCCAACAATTTTCTCAAGTTCTGCGCTATAGTCGGTCAAAGCTCCGCAAGTAGCCACCATGGGCGGACGAGATGCTCTTCTTCCGTTCGTTGTTTTGACTGGCTGTTGTTGAAAGAGTCTCGACTGAGAAATAATTATTACTAATTAAATAAAATTGTTGGGGATGGGTGTTTTACAGGTGTTTTGTTGTTCACTTTAGAGGATGAACAGCCTCCATAATAGAAAAAAAGAGGGAGAAAGAGAGACTAGAGTTCAGGCAGAGGAAATATTGGAATTCAGGGTGATGCCCTCTGTTTCATTAATGAAGGAATTCATAGTTTATTACATTCTAACCACTCCCTAATAAATCTGCTATTTATTTGGCTCTAATTACTCTAGCAACAGAGACTGTACTTAAAATGCAGAGAATGAGTAAATTGCGAGAATGAGTAAATTGCATGTCCTAAATATTAGGGTCTTCAACTGCAGATGTAGTCACGTAGCTTTAGTGGCGTTGAAGTTTTCCTCTTAGGCCTCATTTCACTAGCTGCATGCGTATCATTACCTACCCCATCGAAATTAGCCTTGTCCTCAAGGCTAATATGCGGAAACGACGCATGAAAAAGATCCCAATTTTCCCACGTAGCCTCAGAAGTTGGGGTATTCTCCCATTGAACGAGAACCTGCCGAATCTGTTGCTTGTTGTGCTTGACCAAACGGTGGTCCAAGATACGGAATGGGACAGGAAACTGAGCAGCCGTTGGTGGGGGTGCACTGGGGTGGTTATAGACGGGTTAGGGCAGAATTTCAACAGTGACACATGAAACACCGGGTGAATCCTAGCGGAATCCGACAATGATAGTTTGTACAGAACCTTCCCAACACGAGCAGCGATGCAGTAGGGACCAAAATAGCGCTTTGCCAACTTGTGGCCATGACGCGATGCAACCGAGCTTTGTCGATATGGTTGTAACTTAACAAAAACCCAATCATCCACACTAAATTCCTTGTCACGGCGATGACGATCAGCTTGCACACACATCCTTTCTTGGGCCCTTTGTAAATTTAATTTGAGCGTAGCCAAGAGCTTGTCACGTTCGAGAAGGGCATTGTCAAGTGCAGCAACAGGAGTACCATCAGGAGAATAACCGATCAATGAGGGAGGCGGTCTGCCATACACGACATAGAAAGGAGAAAATCCGGTTGAGCTGTGAACACTAGTGTTGTACCAATACTCAGCCCATGGAAGTGCTTTCGCCCACCGAGTAGGATAGTCACTAGAAAAGGCCCGTAAGTACATCTCAACGCAATGATTGAGTACCTCAGTTTGGCCATCTGTTTGCGGGTGATAAGTTGTACTGTGCTTAAGCTCGGTATCTTGTAAGCGAAAGAGTTCCTTCTAGAAGGTACTCATAAACAAGGGATCACGATAAGATACAATGGACCTGGGGAAACCATGTAATCGTACATATTCCTGGACAAAATAGGCAGCAAGTTGTGGGGCTATGACTCCGTCCGCGAGGGCACAAAAGTGACTATACTTTGACAACCTATCAACGATGACCCATATAACAGATTTGCCACTAGATAACGGTAGTGAGGAAATGAAGACCATCGAAATGTCATCCCAAACCTGCGAAGGAATTGGTAATGGTTGCAATAATCCTTTTGGACAAAAATTTTTTGGCTTGATTTGTTGATAGGTGGAATAGTCCTTCACATAAGTTTGAGTATCCTTGCGAATCCTAGGCCAATAGAAACTGGCATTCAAACGAGTGTAGGTTTTCAGCTCACCAGAATGGCCGCCAATTAGTGAGCCGTGGAAGAGGTCCAACAACCGTCGACGTAAGTCATTTCCCTCTGGCACATATATTTTCCCATTGAAATAGAGGGTGTCGTGCTTCCATGAATATCCATTGGCTGGCATGTCATTATTTGCAAGAGAAGTAATAATATGTTGGACCTTAGGATCCAGGTGTAATGTTGCTTTGATTTCAGAAAGGAAACCTGTAGTGGCGGTTGATAATGCTAACAAATCCCCTTGAACTTCACTAGTCCACCTAGATAACACATCCGGACCATTATGTTCCATGCCTGCTTTGTGCTCAATGACAAAATCAAAGCCCAGAAGTTTGGTAAGCCATCGTTGCTGTTCCGGGGTTTGAATCGTTTGAGATAGCAATTATTTAAGACTCTTATAGTCTATAACAATAGTGAATGGACAACCCAACAATTAGGGGCGCCAACGACGAACTGCGGCGGTGATGGCATACATTTCCCAACAATACGCCGAGGCTTTTTTATAGTGAGGCGGCAACTTCTTGCTGAAATATGCTATGGGATATTTGTCCTGCGTTAGAATGGCGCCCATCGCGCACCCAGAAGCATCTGTCTCTACACGAAAAGGTCGCTCAAAATTAGGGAGGTACAGAACCGGAGTTTTGGTCATTGCTTCTTTTAATCGTTGGAATGATTCATCAGCTGCTAGTCCCCATGAAAATCCACCCTTTTTGAGTAACTCTGTTAATGGGCCCACGTTGGAGGCATATCCCCGAACAAATTGTCGGTAATATCCAGTAAGGCCAAAGAAGCCTCGGACTTCTTGAACCGACTTCGGTACGGGCCAATCGACCACAGCTTTAATCTTCGCAGGATCCACACTAAAATTCAATAATCGGGGACTAGTAATTGACTAGTCAACCCCAAAGTCAAGTGTTGTACCTAAAGCTTTGTGAGTAGTTCCCTTGTTACCTTACACCTCTTCCTTTTAGTAAGGGTAATAAACACATTTCACCCTATGTTATAATTGCAAGCTAACCTAGAGGATCACCCTTTATTCTTTCCCCTTACACTTGGTATCAGAGCCTAGGTTTGAGCCTAGAATGGTAAAGTCTAGACTTCTAAGTGGTTAAGTGTGGTTTGAGACCTTAAGGTGACCATAAGAATCTAAGTGTTTAGGCTTAGGATTTCTTAGGATGCGCGGTGAGCTGAGCGTTGTTTATAGTTGTTTGCTTGTCTGTTGTCTTGTTGGTAACCGTGTTGTTGTTGTAGAAGCTTGCGATGCCTCCTCGTCCTCGTGTGCGTACGGCAGAGACCCCCACGAATGAGCAGCTTGCGCAGAACCTACAGCAGTAGACGCAGACTATGCAGACTCTTAGTGAGGCGTTGCTGAACAACAACCATCCTGCGCTACCTCCTCAGCCTACCAGGCATAGGGACATGGGGCGTCTCGTCTCGGGTCACAGGCCACCGACCTTCACGGGTGAGGAAGACCCGCTTTGTCTTGGAAGAGTCGATGAGAACGTTTGATAAGATATTTTCGGTTGTTGGTTGTCCGGAAGAGCGAAGAGTAGAGCTTGCAACGTTCTACTTCAGTCATGAGGCCGATTTATGGTGGATACACGAGGGCCCAGCTTACCTTGAGGAGCCTGCGTTTGGTTGGACCGCCCTGAAGGATCGGATGCGTGAGAGGTTTTATCCGGCGTATGTGCGAGCCGCGATGTATGAGGAATTTCTTCATCTTCAGCAAGGATCTTTATCGGTGGTTGAGTACCACAAGAGGTTCCTAGAGCTTGCACGCTTCGCTCGGATGCTCATTCCTACAGAGCTCACCAAGGCTGAGAAGTTCATAGCTGGCTTGAACTACGAGGCACGGAAGGCTCTAACCGTGAGTAGGCCAAGTTCTTTGAAAGAAGCTTATCTGAGTGCCGCGGATTTGTATCGTGTTCAGCAGCTACAGCGAGGGTCTTATGAGCTTGCAAGAAAGAGGACCGAGAGTGGAGGCTCTTCCAACTACAAGAAGCCGCGGCCGAGTTTTCAAGCTAAGAATGCATCATCTCCAACCCAAGGACCCAATCGAGCGGAGCATGGAAATCAAGCCAAGACATTTCCTTGTCGTAAGTGTGGGAAGGTGCAATGACTTTGCGTTGTGGGGATAAGGGTCACAAGATCGCCGAGTGCCCTCAACAAGCCAACCAAAGGGCGTTGCCGCCACCCCCAGGAGCCGGAGGAGTAGCTGGAGGTAGCTCGAGCCGTGGAGCAGCCGGGGCCAGGCCATCAGGGAGAGTCTTCGTGATGGGGCGATCGCAGGCGGAGACCGAGGGTTTAGTTGAGGAGGAGTTAGCAGGTAACCCTTTCCTAACCTACCCTTGTCTTTAGAACGCATCTTGTTCTTTGTTGCCTTCGTGTGCTGTCTTATTCCTTCATTGTTGTTCGAAGTTGCCTTGTTATCCTTGTTATGTTTTCCTCCTTGGTGAATGATTCTTTTGTACTTTAGTGCAAGCCTTTCTTGATGGACAACAATTCTTTTTAGTTGTAAGTGCAAGCTTTTCCTGGAGATAGTTGTTTACCCTAAAATGAGCCATGTTCGAGTAATTTCATAATCTTTGCACATGTACAAATTGCAACATCCCCTTCTTGTGAGTCACTTAAAATTCCCCAAGCAATTCTTTGAATTTGGAATGGAAAATCCATAAAATCCTTCCCTGTGAAGCCTAAAAGAAAAAGTAGCTTTTAAATTGCTAAACATTGAGTTTTGAACCCAAGTATACCCTTTACTAACTCAACCCTTTAACCATTTAAGCTAATTATACTTCTTAAAACCTATCCAATTTTAATTCCATCTAAACCATAAAATTTTCACCTTACCCAAACCCCCAAATTAAATCATTCTCTTTCCAATTTTTCCCCAAATTCCAAAACCCTTATTTTTCTTTTTCTTCCCTTCTTCTACCCGTGAGAACCACCGAGCACACCCCCCATCCCTCAACCCGTCGCCGCAGAAACCAAGCCACCATCGCCAGCTGCCGTCGCCCGCCGGAGCTTCGCCGTCGACCTGCTGTGCTGCCACGACGCCGAGAGAGCAGCGAGAGAGAGAGGCAGCGCGAGTGAAAAAGAAAAAGAAGAAAAACAGGGAAGAAAAGCCTTGGGCCCTTTTTGTTGAGCTTTGAGACATCTTCAATCATGCCTAGAAGTTCAAGTTTGGCAAGAAAAGCGGAATGGGTGGATGCCCATTATCTCGTTCTTGAAGGTAAAGCTTTTGACCCGGAATCCTTTTCTAGTTCTGTGTTGGATATGCTTAGGTATCAAGGTTTGTTAGATGGGTTTCTCGCCATAAGGGCCGAGACTTACCCCAGCTTGGTTAAGCAATTTTAGCGTCACATGGTTGTGACAAAGGATGGTGGTAAGCTTGAAATCACCTCTAAGGTGAGGGGTGTGAAAGTGGTTTTGTCTGAAAAGAGGCTAGCTCAGCTTCTGAGTTTATTTGCTTCGGGAGTTGCTCAGTACGGTGGTAACTCGTGGTTTAGTATGGATACCATGGGGTACCGGGACTATTTGAGTTATTTGTTGGGTCGCACGAGTGGTTTCACTCAAGCTTCGAGACCAGAGAAGAAGTGGTTGTCCGCCTAGCAAAGGATTTTGGTTATGCTTGTGTCAGATTGTTTGTTGCCGAATAACAACAAAAGTCGGTTGTTGGGAAAGATGGAGTGCACCTTTGCTTTTTGTCTTAAGAACATGGTGAAGTTCAATCTGCCAGCCTTGATGTTGCAACATATGGTCTTCTGTCGTGATCACAATCGAAAGAGCCTACCGTATGGTATGGTGTTGAGCTGGATTCTTGTCAAGAAGGGTGTGAGCGTTGATAGTTGTATCCTGAAGCCCGTGGGAAAAATGGTGTTGGATGCTATCAATCTGCGGAGCCGCAACTTGTTTCAGTTGGACGATGGTGTTGGTCCCGATATGGTGGTAAAAAGTCTAGAGGGGGGGGGGGGGTGAATAGACTTTTTAAACTTGTTCACAATTAATAACACTTTGGTAATTTCAACTCTAAGTAACAAGATATTTAACTTAGATACGCAGCGAAATAATTAATCAATCAAGTGTTACGTAAAATCAAAGAGATATATCACATGCAATATGATGGATATGCTTGGTATGGCTCAAATAATAAGTATGAAAATTTATGCCCACATGCATACGTGAAAACTACTAGACCCAGATGAATATTTTCGCACAGTATAAGATGGGTCAGTCAAATATTCAACAAGCAAGACAACAGATAAATATTTAAAGAGATGGTTCACTCAATATGTGTGTGATATCACGTGTGAATCAATGAATGAATCCAAGACGAATAGTAAATGGGTTAGTATGCATGGAATAATAAATAAAATCAGTAAGTAAATGAGAGAGAGACAATTTATAGTGGTTCAGAGGTGGTGTAATCCTCCTAGTCCACTCTTCTCCTTTCACTCCAAGGAGGAAATTCACTATCTCGTTCACCCAGATACAAATAGTGAATCAAGTGCACACAGACACTTCCCGAGTGTTTTGCACACACCTACACTCAATCCCGAGTATCTCGCACAAAGCTATACTCCTACACCAACTAAGTGTCTTGCACCCAGCTACACTTAGCACCACCGAGCGTCTCGCACACAGCTACAATCAGCAACCACGAGTGTCTCGCACAAAGCTACACTCAACAGGGTAGTGTCTTACACAAAGCTACACTCAACCCTCTTTCTGCACACAGTAGAGGTAAGATTTAGAGAAAACAAATTTCTCTTCTAAAGACTTGAAGAATCTCTCGTGAAAGCTCAACTGGATATTTCAAATTTTTTTCTTATGTTTGCTTCTTTGTATTGCCTTGCCTTCTCTTTTTCGTGTATTGCACTCTCTTATCTGCTCTGTTTCATGTCTTCAAGTCATCTGGTATACATAGCTGAAGAAGCTATATTACCGTTGTAGCATCACTTGATCTTGATCGTTCATCTTGATCAGCTACACATTATTGCCAACTTGCATTGCGATGATTTAATGCAAGAGATGGGCTTCTTACATTGAGTTTGCAAATCCTCACCTGACAAATCTTCAAAAGTCGCATATGTCGGCTCATCAGCTGAACCTTCTCCGAAAAATAATTTCCTTATCTTGACGGAATCAAAATGATGAAATCTTCCAAAAGATTTGCTGCTGATTCTTGCTTGTGTAAAAAATATATCTTCGACCATTTCTTCTTCTGATATGATTTGAGATGCATAGTAAGAGATTTAAATGAGAAAGAAGATGTGTAGAAGAATTCACGTGCATCTTCCTTATCATGTCCACAAGCTTCCAAACTTGTAGTCAACTTAGCCTTACATGTGTCCATATTGCAGCATGCACTTTAACAAGTGTCATCTCTTCAAAAATATGTTTTTAGTGAGATTTGAACATGAGCCAACAAAATATATCTCCAAGGCTTTTACCATTACACCATATTAACTCATTAGTTAATATTTCTGGATTTAATCTTTATTCCCAGAATGGCTTTAGTAGCATTCTAGATTAATTCATAAATTAATCCGAGTCTGTTTCTTGGTCGTCCCCTTATCAGCCCCTTCATCGTCCCCTTCTTTATCTCTTACTCAAAAATGTAAAAATTAAGTCTCAAACCCATGACCTCTAACTTTAACAACCTAGTTCCTTATCCACTTCACCGCTTCATCCTTTGGTGTCTTCCAAGGTAAATAATTCTCAAATAGTAATATTCTGGATAAGTATATTTTGCTAAGAATTTTGTAGACTTTATGGCTTAACTTGGGACTTAGGCTAATAGACAACTAGACTCAAAATAAAATTGGGGAGTTTCTAAAAATACAATTTTGGCTCATCAAAATATTACACTTTATTCCTAACAGATGGTGATTACATCACTCTGGAGGAGGTTGCTAGGAAGTCGCCCGAGGAAAGGGATGAGCTGATTGCAGAGCTCGAGATTCCTGTTGGAAAGTTGAACCTTGCTGTCCAGAGCTTGGGAGGTGATGTAGAGGACGAGGGTGAAGCAGACCATGAAGAGGAAGTGGAAGCGCCAGAAGCTGCCAAAGCCGAGGAAAGTGACCCCGAGAGTGAAGAAAATCGAAGAAGAAGAGAAGCCCGAACCAAAAGGGAGCACGATGCTGTGACGCACGAGGAGCGTGTGGTCACCTGGCTACGTCAACAGAGCTGGATGTTTGAGGAAGGTTTCGCTTTCATGAAGAAGCAGTTTGTTGCCGTTCACCAGAGGCTAGATCAGATTTAAGCCAGCTCAAGCCGAAGAGGAGGAGACGTCGAGGGGTCCGAGGAGAGCACCGACGGATCTGTGAGCGAGTCGTTCTAGCTCAGTGTTGTGGTAACCCCGTTTTTCTCCTTTTTCCTTAGCT